GCCATTATAATGAACCAACCTCTCTGAACCACTAACTTTGGCAGCAAAGTGCTTTTTCCATTTTCTGTCCGAGTTTCTTGCAGAAAGCTAATCCTGAGCCAACATCTCCCCACTCATAAAGCAGGCAGATAATATGGACAGCAGAAGGAGGAAGGAGACAGTTTATGATTAAAAGAAGAAAACGTTGACTCAACACGTTCTTCGGCGAACTGCTCAATTTAAAGCTTACGTTTTATCTCCACAAATCGTTGCGACATAATGTTTTGACAACCATCTTTCTGCTGGTTGTTATAACCGGTGATGCCATCATGCACGCACCGATCTAATTTAAAACAACTCGGTCTGCTTTAATCCCAACAATCCACCGAGTTGCATAAGCTACTGTTCCAACTGAAACAAAGAGCACAACACGAACTGTATCGTCAAGGCAGTGCAATGGAAAATACTCGCTTGGCTTGGGACAGCAGGCTGGAAAAGTGGAGAAGGCTGAGCTCGCCTATAAGTCTGACCTAGATTTCCTGTCCTGTAAAAGCCATATGTTATCTAACCAAAGTAAGAAAAGGCTGATAGGTGCATGAGGCTGCAGTCGCAGTCAATATTTAGAGTACAGTAGCTTTACTGCAGGATGTCTGTTAAGGTCTTCAATGGTGGAAAAATAATTTTAAAAAGTTTAGCTTTCCATTGACAAAGGTATGCAAACGTATGTATACCGCTGGATTATTCAAAGTTTCTCCATTACAACCACGAGCTTTAATGTATTTTGATGGGATTGTATGTGATGAAATAATACAATAATGCTTTAGAGGTCTGCTAATAAGTAAACTGTAGTTCAACTTTTGTGTCAAATAATGTGCGTAGCCATTCATCTGTTGAGTGACGGCCCCAGAGGGTTATAGAGAATATTAGTGCAGAAACCCGATCATGAAGACCAAGAGCAACATCAGACAGGTCAGGCGTAACATAGCGAAGAAGTCTAAACCAAAGTTAGGTCATAAAACAATAACCCGAGTTTCAAGCATATGACACACCACTCTTCAGTCCTTTATTCACAACTGCAAGCCTAGCCAGGCATGGCTGTCCATCTAAACCAAGAAGCTATGCAAGACAGCGAAGAAGGCCAAGATAACGCTGCATAGATCCAGAGCTCAGGTGGGAAAATCAGGCGATATGACAAATATAAGTTATGCACTTCACAAATCTGGCCTGTTTCAAAGAGAGGCAAAGGAAATGTTTAAAGTTTACCACAACATCCGCACGGTGCATACAGTATTAGGCTGTGGGGATGCTGTTCTTCAACATGAACAGCAAAGCATGTCAGATGATAGGGAGATGAAGGAGATGGGGATAAATGCAGAGGAATCCTGAAAAAAAAACCTCAAGCTGAGAGCTTTGAGACTAAGGTGGACGTTCACTCTCCAGCAGGACAACCATCAGCATGCAGTCAAAGCTACAAAGAAGTAGTTTAATTCAAAGCATATTTGTATACTAGAATGGCATAGCAACAAAAAAAAAAAATCCAGGTTTAACTGCTATTTAAATCAGTGGTAAGAATTAAAAAACTATGTCTGCAGACTTAGTTTTTGTTTTTTGTTTTTTTTAAGGTTTTACAGATTTTTCAGTCTTTAGATGTGCAAATCTGACAGAGACTACCACGAAAACTGCTTTCGAAAATGTGGGAGAGGTGAAAAATACATGAATGCAACCTACTTCTCCTATTTTTATTTGTATAAGTTTGAAAATGATTCATTATTTCCCTTCAAAATAAAATGCTGTTTTTGTTGGTCCGACATACAATTCCAATGAAATACGTTGAACCTTGCGGTTGCAGCAAAGTGTAAGGAGCAAAATTAGGGTGCATGACTAGTTACTGAAGTTCTTCTCCATTCAAAAGCACTGAGCACACAGAGTCGTGCTGGTTTAAACCTGCAGAGCTTGAGAATCTACGAGACCCATTTTATCAAATGAAGCAGACACTTTTAGTGCCTCTAATTCAGCACATTCGCCATGTAGCTGTGCATTACACAGAGCAATCTGTCAGACACCATTAAAGGGTTTGTACTTATCCTGCGAGGAAGTGGATGCTAAATCAAGTGAGCCCTCAAATCTTCTCAGGACACACTTGGTCTTGTTAGTGTTGGCAGAGGGATATGGCGTAATATCACCCAGCCAAATGAAGCGGTTTCAGCTGACTGACACTGCAGGAGGTGTGGAGATTTTAGGGAAGAATAAGTGCAGAAAAAGGTTGTGTTTATTCATGCAAAATGATTATTGTGCAATAAAACTGTCAAAGAGACAGTCTTTAGAAACCCTGTCTTCTAATATTTTCCTTTCTATGCCACATGTAGTTAGAAATCCAGAAAAATCCCAAACTATTTTGTTAGCGACTCTTACACAGCTATTCCTTTCAAATGCAAGATCATCATATGGAATCCAAACAGCAAAACAGATCTTTACGACTGAAGTAGAGGCCAAAATGTGCCTAGAACCTGCTGCTGGTTGAGAAAAGAAAGAACGATGTGCTTTCTTAAGTCTCCAAGAGTATCTAATAATACAAAAATATGTTTTTATGAATGTTGTTAGTTGCTTTTGTGAAATATATCATGTTTAACACTATTTCATCATTTCTTTTCTTCCCCCACCAGTTTCCAAAAACATTGCCTGATAAAAATGTAAAGGAAAAAATTAAAAGTGGCGGTTTCTTCACTGATTTTGCAAACAAGTATCGTCAACCAACCTGAGGAAAAGTGTTTATTAGATGACTCTTGTCAACTTCCTTTAATAAAACTTCAAAATAAAAGTCTAAATATCATAGAGTCTGAAGAATATAAAAATAGAGGCGACTGTTGTGTGTTTTTTTAATTTCACAAGATCTCATGCTAAGACATCTTGTAACCAAAGTTTAAGTCTTAAAGTGCTTTCGTCAGCTGCCTTATATGAGTTATTTCCAATATGAATTTAAACTGTATGGTTCTGAGCTTTTAAGAAGAGGCCCCTTGGGGTTCACAGTTTGTGTTCACCACTTTGCAACCCCATAGGAGATGATCTGCTAATATGTCAGGCATTGCAAAAGTTCTGGAGTATTAAGGTACAGGAATATCCACCCGACTGTGGCTCCCCATTGGGGCTGAAACTCAACTGGAGCAAAGAGGAATAACAAATCCACAAACCCGAAGGCGGAACATGTGACACTTTAAAGTAACCCACCTCTGTGGACCTTCTTCCACAAGGACCAGTGTGGCACTCACACCCACCATGAAGAGGCAGGTCAGCATACCTTCTTCGTCACAGTTTCCTGCTGCATCTCTGTTTCTCCTTTCTGGCTCGAAGGAACACATGATTCCCATTACTGTTTTACTGTCTCAGCAGACCATTAAAGCTGAACGTCAGACCTTGTTACCAGGCCTTTTGACTCTGCAGTCGCTCTTTTGCTTTGTATTAGGAATTACATTTAAGAAAGCGAGTCAGGCAGGTGCTTAGACCAGGTTTGGAGCATGTATTTGTCGATATGTGTAGACATAATGCAATTGTCAGCTTTGTATGTTTCTTTTATTTTTCTTCATTTTCGTGGAGAAGCACAAAGAAATCAGCTGTTGACCAGAATCAGATGATTTACAATCTGATCGGCTATAACTGGTGACTGGCCTGGTCAAAAACTCAAAATGTTTTTGTTGTTGTTGTTGTTGTTGTTGTTTTCAGAACAGCAAACACGTCACACTAATATCAAGGGTCTTTGGTGTGAATATTGTTACTGAGTGAAGAAGAGATTTAAAAAGTTATTTACAAAATAAACTTTATTTTCTACCTATTGAAACATGTCAGCAGTCAGCAGACTGTGAGAGAGTGAGAGAGAGCAAGCCTTATAGTAGATTATTACTCATTTTGTTCCTTTTCAGCTTTCAACTCCTGTCTGCCATGGAGGATTCTGGATTGGAAAATGTTAACAACCCTCTTGTTAACACTTAGGTTCTTAAGGTAAGTTAAGGTAAGAATTCAGTCTTCAGTCTTTTAGTGCTGCACCCCAGGAGAAGAATAAATATAATTTCCATTTCCTTTACAATCACAATGGGAAAGTGTTGTATTTGAGGGGGAGGGGGGGGAAACTGCACATTTCTTTGTAACATCTGTCTGTTCCTCTTGGTAAACTTCTCCAGCATGTGGCATTGCAAAAAGGTTTTATTGTATTCTGTATCATTGCTAAACTGGAGGAAGAAAGGACAACCCTCAGTTCTCTCTGTCATAGTTTTTTTTTTACACAGTAGATGCCACCCACCCAGCCAGTCCGTGATCCAACAGGCCAGTCGGTGGTGCAAAACAGACCGAGTGCGCCGCTACTCTGGTAAATACACAGTTGGGCTGTGCTTCTAGTCATGCTTGCTTTTTTAATCACTAATGTAAGATGCTAAAGACTACCAAAGTTCAGCCACAAAATTCAGATTGGGGCATCTCTTGTTTTTTTTTGTTTTTTTTTTTTTTTGTTTCAAAGTAATTCGAAGTAACTACTGGTGTCTATTGTGATCTAAACACGTCACAGCCAATTTGTTATTTTAAATTATTTGAATCAAATGAGCTTGCAAGCAACTCATTAAACACTGAATTATGTGCACCTTAAAACAGCATCTTCACTCTGTCTCTGGGCTCTTTCCAGAGGTTAAACAGCTGACTAAGGGCTCTCTGCAGCTGGCATTTGTAAACCCGGCATGTCCTTCTGGCTTCCCATTAAAGTGGGGAAGAATAATTAATATGAGTCTGGAAGACATTCCTCTTGCCAGAGGCAATATTTTGGCTCCCGGCCAAAACCAACAGTGGTTAAAAAAAAAAAAAAACAGGGCTAAGTTCGAGCCAAATAAAGCATCCAGATGGGGATTAGTAACAACAATCAAAGTTCGTAGAAAACGGGTGAGGGGGGTGGCTTGGGAGGAGCACACAATATTTGATGAACTGTCAGTCAGAGCCTGACATACACGTAGCAACACATGGCGCCTTTTGTTTTGATTACTCACCACTCTCGCTCTTCTCAATGACGTCGACCAGTTCACCCGCTTGGAGACTGATTTCTGCAGGCTCTTGCTTCTCGTAATTGGCCACCACCACGTATTGTTCCAGGAGCATGGGGTCTGAAGCGTCCAGACCTGGTGTTGACGGGAAAAAACATGCTGTCAGCCAGCTGCCAGCCATAGGTCCACGAGAACGGCTGCTGGACACCCGTTGTGCCATAGACCCCTCTGTCTGTGTAGCCAATTGCAGTATTCACAGGGTTCGGTGCATTTTCCCTGCAGCCTAGCCATAGAGCTGCATCCCCACCTAGCTGAACATCAAGGGCAACAGAGCAGTTGAAGCTCTCTGAGAAGAACTTCAAAAAGAAAGTGATCAGGCCATTACAGGCGAAAATCCATTCTGTTTTTGCTGAAGGGAAAGTGTCCTTCCCCAGGTCATCAGATGCAGCTGGGCATGCAAGCACACTATTTTTGAAGGAATTGCAACAGCAGTGCAGATAGAGAGCAGAGAGCTGAAGCCAACTGAAGACAGGACAGAAATTTCTGAGAAAGAAATAGTTTCCCTTGGAAAATAAACCATCTGCTAAAAAGCCTCCTTCTCCTCAGTGGGGTTGGAGCTGGAGGAAGAGTAGGGGGGTGGTGCAAGCCAATCATAAGAGTCGGCACTAGGGTCCTTAAATGGAACCAGATGAAGGGGCTGGAGTTTTGCACAGAGGGGTGGACCTGTGGCTCTGTGAAACACTAGAGCTCTGACTCCAGCATGCAGCCCAGCCAATAGAACTTTTCTTCTCGCCACATCGCTAAGTTAACCATATAAACTCTGGCAGTGACTCCGTATTTCATTCGCTTTGTTGCTGTGTTCCTGACAGACTCACCACCCATCCTTGCGCCAGATTTCTGGTCCGTAAGCAAATAAGATAAGTGACCTCTCAAAAAAAAAACAAAGACATGTTTGGATTTGTGGAGCCATTTAAACAGCATGCAACTTTTTTAATACAGCAATTTATCGTCATCTGCTAGTGTCAAGTTCCATTAACTGGGCTGCACTGAAGACGTCGTAATGAAGAATCCTTTAAAATAACCATCGCTGAATGAATTTTACAGGAATGTGGAAATGTAGACCTGCTGACGCTTAGTTCAAACTGTTTGTTAATAGCAACTTCAGCTGGACACCAAGTTCAAAGCTGCTATCAGAAGAAGCTACTGCTGCAGACAGATTCCTCACACCGCTACATACCACCGCAGACAGCATCTACAGGCATCATGGAACAGAAATTTTTGCACATCATCATTATATTCACAAATTTGAATTAAACTATTCATAATCACAAAATTCCAATAAAGTACCTTGAAGTTTGTGAGACAATAACGTGTGAAAAAGGCACATGATTTATTCCCATCACTGGTGTCAGAGCCTTACTTTGAGTTGTGAAATATTGCGTCTTGTGATAAGTTTCAGAAACTTGATTAAAGTGGAAAAATTACTTCCAACACATCATTCTGCCATAATGGTTATACAACTTAAGAACTGTAGTCATATAATGCAAGAATACACTGTTGAACTTTCTAGTATTTCGCCAAGCCGTAATGTATTTGATTGGCATTTTATTTGCTTGACCAACACAAAGCTGTGTACAACTGTGGAGTGAACTTGTGATTTTTGGGGAATCTTTTTACCAGCTGTTTACATCTACAGACTGCAACGTGTGCCTATTCTTATTCAGCTCTAACTAATCCAGATTGGATGGAGAAAATCTGTGACCAACTCTTGAGTGTTGACACAGAGTCCTATTTGTAGGTCTGGACTTTGACTGGGCCTTTGCAGGATGTGAATATACTCTGCTCTAAACATACAGCCGTTGTAGCTGAGGGCTACTTATCTGTTGGAAGGTAAATCTCTATCAAGTGTTATGCAGCTTCCACCAGTGATTCCACCAAGTTCATGGATGTAATGAGACAAATTAAAAATAAATAAATAAATAAATAAATAAATAAAAAATTTAAGGCAGGAATAGTTTTGTGAGGCACTGCAAGTGGATAAAATTAGCAATGCTACATAGTTCAGCCAATACTCATCACACTTGCCACACTCTGCAGTGATTAGTTTGTGGGTCTGAAGCTATTTAGGAAGGATTGGAACAAACTGCTTTCAGAAAGAATTGCTTTTATTTTTTTATTATTTCAAGATCTAAGATTCACTCTAGTAAAAAAAAAAAAAGACTCGAAGCCTCACTCTTCTTTTTGTGAACTCTATCTACAATATGGGAGAGCTATTACCTTACAAACCCAGCCTCATCAGCATCTCTCTGAATAATGCTGCCAAAGAGTCTGACACTCGGTTACTGTGGTTGGGCTGTGGTTTCTGATGGCCTATCTATGCAAGATGTTTTGACAAACCACAAAGTTGGAAGCAGAAAAAAAGAAAAAAACTACTTGATCGGTAAATAATGTGACAACTACTTTACTTACAATTTATTGTGACTTGTGATTCAAATGCTGATAAACCCTTTAAACGTCACCAGTTTTCAAATATATACAATAATTGCCCATTTAGAGCAGTGTATTTAGTTTTTTCAGAGTGTGCTGCAGTCAGTTCACTCATATAATATGAAAGCATCTCAAATGTATTTGTTAAGACGAAGAGATGATTATTGACATTAAATTGATATTTAACTATTTCTTGGCTTTATTTTGAATATTCCTTATTCTTTTCAAGACCAGTAAGTTTCCCAGAGCAGTAAAAAAGAAAATATGCAAGTGCAGTGCCTTACAAATGTATCCGTACTCCTTAAACATCATTGCACATCCTCAGTTTAATTGGGATTTCATATAAAAAAAAATAATAAAAATCTGAAAGGTGTGGTGTGTATTTTACCATCTTCACTCTAAAGCCCTAAATAAAGTCCATCTGCCTGTGTGGAAACTATCATCAGTACAGCTTATCTGTGAATATCTTTGACATTTGTTTAGAAAAAAAATTAGACAGAAACTCCCTATGGGGATGCTTTTCTACAGACAGTGTGGGGACGTTGCTCAGGGATGTTGGCAAGATGCAACTAAATACGAGGCAATCCTGAATGAAAACACGCTGAACAAAACTTGTGACTGGTGAGGAAGTTCATCTTCCAGCAGGACAATGGCCCTAAGCATATCAGAACTACACTGGGAGGGTTTATATTCGAGTTGGTTTGTGTGTTTGAATGACTCAGTGAAATTTGAGACTTACATATCATTTTTCATACATCGGGAATACAGTTGAAAAGTCAACTTATTTCAGTAACTAAATTCACTAAGTGAAATATATGGAATAATTACACACAGAATGGACACATGTAAAAATAAGTCATTATTTTATGACGTAAGTAGAATTAAAGTAATAAAATTATGCTTATTTCTCAAGAGATTCACTAATGCTGTTAGAAATGGGTGGGAAATGTGAGGCCAGATGAGAGGGACTAAAGACTTTGTCAGCAAAGTCAACAGGAATGAAAGGCAAAAGCTGATATTTTGGCCTCATTCAGGAAATGAAATGTTTTGCAGCAGCAGGAAGACAGAGCCAGAACAAGAAGAAAATATGAGAGGAAAAATGTGAGTGAAAACAGCCCCGGACATGACCTAGGTCAAATTTGTCACAAAACTAACCATTTCAAAAAAGACCACAGGTGAGTATTGCTGTTAACGCCAAACACATTTGTGAAGTTTTAAAACTTTAATCATTCAATTTTTCAAACACTTGTCTGCTAAGATGGCCCACATAGTAACAGACTTTGCATAAAACTCTCAGGCTCTACACTTCTGATAGCTGCATGAACAAATACCTTAAAGAAACACTGACCTTCATCTGAAAACATCAAGCATTTTGTATTGAATGTGGAGTTCTCAAACGTTACAAGCTTTAAATTCAGAAAGTGTTCCGTCTTGAGTTCCAATATTTATTCCTCGAGGCCACTTTCTCCTTATCCGTCCTCACTCAGCTTTATAAATGTGTCTCCTGTTCCCACCCCGGCACACCCAAAGGTCCTAATTCCATCCAACTCCCACCCTCAAACACTCGCTCCATCATAAGCTCCATCCGGAGATGATAACCACTGAGAGTTGCAATGATTCATCACCATGAGATTTATGTTACAATTTTATTCCAAAGTATTGTTACGTTTTTGTTTTTTGTTTTTTTTTTGTTTTTTTGCTTTTATTTTTTCCTGTTTAGGACCTGAAAGTCTGCATGTGTTAACTTCACATTTTGAGCCCCAGAAAATCTCTATGGAGGAATAATTTAGCTAAGAGTAGTAAAAACTAGCAAAGCGTAATGCCTTTGTTTGACTCATTGGCAGCATATGTGCAGCTGGATTAGAAGGAGACACAGATCTGCTGATCAATGTAGTACAGATGTACTCGTGTCACTGAATCAGTATGTGTTCCCCGAAAAGAGAAGGGGGGACAGAACACAATCGAAACAGAAGCAATATTATTGAATATTATTATTATTATTCGATGATCAACTAGTATTTTGCAGTCTAAAGACATTAAAGTTTTACTAAAAACCTAACCTGCTCCAGACCTAAACCTGGTGGGAGAGGGAAACTACTTCACTGTTCAATATGTTGAAGAGGATTTCATTCACATGGAGCAGATATGGAATATCTTCAAATTCAACTGGATCTTAAAACAGATTGTGCAACATAGTAGTTTCATCTTTTTATTTTTTTCTCTTTCTGTCTCTCTTTGCTATAATACCAATAGTCAACACCATCAACCTAATCAAAATCACTCAGAAGGGAAAATAAGATAGACTCTGCACATGGTTGCGCCAGAGATACAATGATTCCTTCTCACAAATTAATGGTTGGGACTTGATGAAAAGCATCATAGCACAGTTGACAGTTAATATAAACTAATAGCAAATGGGAAAACATACGAAGCCGACACATTTTGACACCCGTGTGTTCAGGTTATTCGATTCTTTCTTAAAATTTATGACCGTGGATTGTAACGCAACTGCACGTTGGAAAAGCTTTACACATTTGAGCTCTTATTCTCGTACAAAACCGCTTCTGTCCTGAAACTATTTTGAGCGAGACCCTTCAGCTCTGCCTCCAGGGAGGGAGTCTGGTACGACAAATGGTCACTTATCAGAAACAGAGAAGCCAGTATGGGGCCTGGTCTTGGCTTAAGGGAGGAGAGAGCTTCCTCCTAACCAGAGCTCAATTTTAACGAGAGAGAATGAAAACCCGACAGCAGTTTCAGCTTAGTACATTAAATGTAGTTTCGATCATCATTTCAAAGATTATAGAGAAATTTCTCTCTCAAGTCTTATAACGGATGCTGTAGGTTGGGAATATTACACACAATTTTCTTTACTAATCACAAATGTTTATTTTTAGTTTGTGAGATGCACCGAGCAAACCACTTGAATTTTAGTGAAAACTCAAAAATCAAACCGTTTTTTGATCAGTGAATGCACCACTCATAAGTGCCTCCAGAGTTAGCAACAACTGTCTTTGGTCTGGAGGTTGTTAATGTAGGAAAAAGACTCAGAGTTAGCTTTCATTAGACATGAGCTTAAAAATTAAGTCAGGTGGTCCACACAAGCTGTAAGATGTTGTTGAAATAAAAAACCTGTGGTTTATGCATCCAGTTTCTCCTTTGCTGTATTCTGTAACAATTATCAAAAATGTTTGGATCACAGGGTTTGGCCATGAAATTATCGATTTGCAGCTCACCGCCTCGCCGACTACCGCAGTCTCATCGCGGATTGAAGGTGGAGATGTTTTTGTTGACGTAAATTCACAGGCGAAGCAACGTGCAACACCCAGCTCAGTCCAGCTTGTCCTTCCCCTGAGGTGGTTCCAAAAAAAATGGGGAAGAACCGCGCAGTAACTGCAAATGAAGACTAATCCAGCTGGGGATAATTGGAAGAGAGTAGATTGAAAGCCAAGCTGAAAAAAAAGGGGGCTATAGAAGCCAACTTTGGAGTATTCAATTTCTATTTCTTGTAAGCTGAGATGGACTTGGAAATATTAGGAGTCGTTTGGAAAACTCAGAATAAAGGAAGTACAAAGAGAGTGATGTTTACAGATTTATGGTAGCTGTGCTGTTCCCTAATATAAGATACCAAAGACAAATAAACACGTCAACTCCAAATCAATTTGTCCTCATTTCAAAGAGTAAAACACTCGTTTAACAACTATTGCTTCCTTTCAAGTAGATGGTGTGACGTCGTCTCTGCCCCTAACATAAAGAAGTAACGACGGTTCACAGTCGGGTTAATGGAAAAACATATTTTGAAGGCTGTTAAATAACATGCTGAGGTTCGAAATTGGCCGCACCACTTTGATCAGTCCCTTTGTATTTTTTTTTATTTATTTGGGAAGAAAACTAATAACTAGAAGGAAAACAGCAGTAAATACTGGAGTCAGCAAGAAGCACGACGTTTACTGCTCCTTTTTTTAAGATGGAAACATCTGTATGCATCGGCTAGTCCATCTGTGGTATCTGCATGGAGTCCAGAACATTGTTTTGTGCCCACGTCTCAGCCACACGCTTTATCTGAATATTTTTTTGCTGCATTCTTGTCAGCACTTCCTTCTCAGCCAATTTGTTTGATGAAGATATCACATTCCCTATGACAGTGGAGGAAAGATATGGTTTAGGCTTCCTTCATTATCATCTTCCGGCTCGGCCCGCTCTTCAGCTAACCGGGCGTAATGAAACCCGTCATTTACTTCTGCATGTAAACTATTTAACAGCTCACTCACACAAAAGACGTAAAAATGTGACAAAAGTTTGAACAGAACTAAATACGGTGGCACAAGCCAGAATCTGAAGCTGTTCCAAAAAAAAAAAAAAAAGGAGAGAAGCGAGTGCTGGATGTCAAAGCCGTTTAGAAAAACCGACTGAGCTTAATGACTTCCTTCTCTAGTTTGCAATCGCAATCGCATCCATTTGCAAATACAAACAAACATGCAGACCTCCTGACCCACCCAGTGTCTGACCCATTACCCTGCCCCCACCTACAAGCATGCAGTTGACACAGAAACAACCACATGCTCTGTGCTGTATACAGACAGTAGCCATCTCCAAAGATCTGCAGCAAAAACAAAGACAGCAAGTCTTGCACTGACAGTGCATCAACATGGTCCCCACTTGCCACGTAGGCTGTCCTCTCCTCTCCAGCTGCTTTTCACATGCACTACACACCCCCAAGCACTCCGATCTTTTTCTCTCCTACTTTTTTTTCCCCCAAGCGTCTTCTGAGGATCTAACTTTTGTTTGACATTCACATATATAAAAAAAAAAACCCTGACGCTTTCGAAGATGACACGATGTTCCTGAACCTCAGACCTGTACAGCTGTTATGACAGCATGTTTCTTCATCAGTTGCAGTCATCTGACAATGATTTATGCTAACAAGCAGTCAAGCCTAAACGCTCATTTATATGCCGGAAAGGATGCAGAAGATCTCCATAAAACGGCAGGACGGCTGTGATGCACCGGTAAGCCTGGGCTGTTTCAACTTTTAAAAAAAAAAAGGTCAAGTTTTACTTCAAAACAATAATTGAGACCTGTAAAAACAAAAAAATTGTTTAAGTCTCTGTTTATATAAACTATTTTTCATTTCACCACCTTTAGAAAATCTCAAACAGATTTTACTTAGCAGTTGCTGGTTTCAAGGTTTGCCATAAAACAAGACAATAGTTTTTGCTCAAATTCTGGTATTTCTGTGTTGTCATTAGTTGCATGTTCAGCTGCTCCATTTAACCACATGCATGACATAGAAAAATATATACATCCATCGTCTGTACCACAGAGTTTGGTGCCTAACTCCAGTGGTCATTGGGCAAGAGAACGTCCTGGACAGGTCAGTGGTTAAATTTAGGTATGATGCAAATTTGCAGACTTAGGCAAAACTGTACATCATACTTGCCATCCATTGTTTATAAGTGGCTATGCAGGGTCTCCAAGGGTGATTTTTAGAGACTAATTAAAATTCAGATTTTTGGGCTATGCAAGGAAGCCAGAGTACCCCGACATTACCCACGAATGTAAGAGGACGCGACATAAACAAAGTGAAGAAAGGCTTTGTTTGCTATTGGAACCAAGGACGTTTGGCCTTGCAGCTGCACCACTGCAGCCCATCATTAAATTCTTTTATCCATCTTGTTCTTTTGGTTTTTCTTGTTGTTTTAAATTGGGCAGGGTGAAACCAAATGAGATTCATATGGTAGCAGCATACCATGCAAATCTCAATCCTAATTTTGACACCAACAAATCACATGAAAACACTGTCATGGCAACAAAGGGACTGAAAGCTTAAAGTGAATTATCAGCTTTGAGTTAGTGATTCTCCGATTTCCTCTGCTTGCCAGGTAAACAGAGCTGAACCTCTAACCACTCACAGTTTTGTGGTGAAAAGCTACATTCTCCTCCTCAGGGCAGGGGCTCAGGAAACTCTTCTGGATACCCCAGCACCATATAATTATGGAACCTATAAGCTGCAAGTACAGCAAAAAAAACTCACCACAGACTCACTTTATCTGCTATCCTGCTTTAAAAGGGAAATATTACTTTTAAACCACTAATGTCCAGAAAGGGGACTACGGTGAATGTTTCCAAATCAAATAATTACAACAGCCAGAACAAAAGGAACAAAATCTTAGGACTAGGTTGCTGTGTGTTCTCACCATTGTTTTCATTACTGACCATTAACCATTAAGGACTAATTAATATGAGCTGAGCAGTGAGAAGCACTGGAAAATGGCTCAAGGATTTTTTAACATTACAGGTCTGATAGCTTCCACAGGCTGAATATAGGCTTAACACACACATACTCTCTCTCTCTCTCACACACACACACACACACACAGCTGAAATAAGACAAATTTTCCATTTCTCTATGTGGATGGAATCCCCCATCATCTACCGCCTCAAAGCAATGGAATGAATACTGAAATAAGGTAGGGGTTTTTATTTCACGTTGGTGAAAACTAAACCTCTTCACCCACAAAAAAAGAACAAAGTTGTGTCCACTTTTCACCTACTGAAACTTTCATGGTCCAGCTACGACGCAGGACTTCATAGCTCCAGCGCGTAACAGAAAGGATGGCCAAAGAAGCTCCATCTGACTGCAGAAGAGCGTTTAATTTAGTAATACATGTGGGTATTCTAAGACTGCACGCATGCAAGAGCGTGCACATACAAACATGCAAACTCTGCACAGCTGTTCACTAAACCGCCTTCATACTTTTCCTCCTGACTCCTACGCTCATATCCCCCATGCTCAGCTGAGTCACACTCTCTGCCTTCCTTGAACTCTCTTACACACACACGCACACAGCAAGGTTAACCCAAAAGCCATAGCAGGCAGAGGAAATGAAGAAGCACTAACAGGTGGTCTTGGTCTCTATGCACTGTATTAAACAGTTCAGAAGTGAAATGTAAAAAAAAGAAAATAGTGTCCACTAACAAAAAACTTGTGTCCATAACAATTTAGCATTATATATTCCTGCAACATCATAATCCCTTAAAGAAATTAATGGTGGTGACGTGCCAACATTTTTTTCAACAGTTAATCTTAAAAAAATAATAATCAGCTATTTAATTTAACTTAATGTAGATAATTACTTTGGTAAACAGAGCTGAACCAAGGTAAAGGTGGCATCAGATTCCACTATGACTTTTTATGGCACAACTGGAGTGTTTGTTGCAGTTAGTCTCATCTGACCAAAGCAGTGGGTTTTGATTAAAGACTCGTTTACATTTAGGTTTATGCACAGCAAAGGCTTCCTATTGATGCAGCTCTTTAACAATCCCTCTTGTGCATTTTGCCAAGAAGACCATAGAGTATTACATATCCAGTATGTGAATCGTAATCTGAAGAACATTTCATTTAAGTTTTTGTGCAAAATACATTTAATTTAGCTCTACAACATGACCTCAATGCCAGACTGTCAATAGAAGCAAATCAAATAGTCTATCCAACATTAATGGCAAAGGCTCAGAGATGTTCTTACCTGATTTCCGTTTTCCAGATCCTCCACAGTCTCTGAAAAAGAAACAACACCAGAGAACCATGATCAGAGGGAGCGAACATTGATCGAACTGGATCAATCTGGTAACCAGTTACATCTGAACCTCTTAATGCAGACCATCCGAGTGCAGTTGGCACACAACTATCAGCCAAGCCCTCGTGGAGAATGCATGCAGAACTTGACCCACGACCAAAGGGAGGGAGTCCGGGTGGGACAGAAATGGGTGAGTCGTACAGTAATGATGCCAAAAACGGAGCCAAAGCAAAACTTCAGCCAGCATACCATGTGTAAATGCATTATATCGGTTCTAATATTAGATGCCAGCGCCGTGCAGCTGCCTAGTTTTAACAGAACGGCATTTATTGACCGGATAACAGTGTCATATCTCCCTGTGAAGTCCCATTCACGCTCTGATGTGAAAGGCTTCTTTCTTGAGTTCACACTGTGGCTACACTCAGATCATTAGTGTGAGAGAACCTGTTCTGTTCTTTAGCCTACTAAAGTCAAAGAGGAGCAAATTTCCACTCACTATGCTTATTCTAAATGTCAGTGTGTGACTAGAAATAGCAAATCCATTGACAGAAAAGTCTCCATTAGATTTTTTTTAAGTAAATATTTTAAACCTTGATTGGTGAAATACAGTTCTGTACTTATTAATTCTTAGGTTTCTTTCTAAATGTTGCACCCGTTAAATCAAATATGGAAAGTGTGTTTTCTTGCTTTGCTTGTGCACAGCATTAGCTCATTCAGAAGAGATCATTTTTGATGTCTGTCATTTATTCTCCAGCTGTGCCAGAGGAGTTACACAGCAATTATTTTGCAATTACTAAAATTAGTCAGAAACACAAAATGACTACATGACAAATGCATAAATTAGTTCCTCATTAAGGTTCTGTCCACTCAGTTTGAGTGATCGCTCCTCATCCCCTAAACTGCATAAACATAAATGGGGGTAGATCATGAGGTGGGAACAGGTAAATATTTCAAACCACAAGACCATTTTCGGAAGTTTGGGATGACTGCTCTTCCTCATTTAGTGAACTGGGCAGCGGAGAGGAGAGTGATGAGAAGCTGAGGTTTGACACAGATGGAAACAGACACCTGGCTCTCTGGAGAGGCCAGCAGCAGGACGGGAGCCAAGGCCAGTCAAGGATATGAGCACATGGTTGGATAAAACTTGTCTAACATTTGCCAGCGTAGTGGCACGCTTATCATCTTCAGTTAACAAAGAAACTTTACTAATGCCAGATGATGATGCTACACTTCTGATATGGCTTAAAAAAAAAACTATTTGTAGAGTTTTTATATATATTTTATACAGAGATGGGTCATATAAAGACCCATCTCTAACACTGACAAATCGGCTGGTCAATAGCCTCTGACCAGGGACATGGTGATCAGAAATGTTGTACTTTTCCAGTCTTGTAAACACACTAACCTAAGGACTAACAGGCTGCAATAACACTCTTTTAAATGGAGTTTGCTGCTGACTCAAAGTTTGCCTTTCAGATTAAAACAGTTTGATCACTGTAAGGTTTTGAAAACGTTTTAGAGGATAATTTGCAAATCTGAACAAATAAATAAATAAGGGGTTTTTTTTTTCAAACAAAAAATAAGTCAGTTTAAACTATTTTTCCCAAAGACTTCACTGTTTTCAGATCTGTGAGTACATTTGATACTTCTACAATAGATACACAAATTAAACACTTGTGTAAACAAAATATCAGGAACAAGATTCATAAAGAGAATGTAGAAAAAAGAAAACAGTGCAACTTCAAACTCAAATGTGCAATGTTTTGTTTCAAACAAAATTCAGAAACTTAATACAAAACAAAATATGCAAATATTGTTCAGAGTTACAGAAAGCTTAAATGATGCGCTTTATATAATACTATTCATGCCACTCAATCACACTGTGGCAGCACCGCCATGCAGTTGTAATTTTTACATGGAGGAAGGAAATCAGAAATGTATTGTGTGTTTTTTGGGTGGAGGTAAAACTGAGGCTTTGGAGGAAAAAAGCTGAGGATGAAGTAAATGCCTGACCTGTTCTGCTTACGTTTGACCCTCAGCACAAGCTCCGAGGTGGAGTTATATATTCCTCCCAGGAGGAGACTGAGCACACAGCTCAGGCTCTGTGCATTTTCTTCCTAATTCTAACCGTTAGGACTAAGGAGAAAAGTTTCTTTGAACTCTTTAAGACTTTGTGCCCGTTTTTAGCGCAAACCAGCACAGCAGAGACTTGTTTCCACTGTGTATATGTCAGTATCTTTAAAAGTCCAAACCCTTCTTGCATATTGAGAAACCTTATGTTTGTACAAGCCTGCAGCTAACTCTTCATAGGTGGGCCTGCTAGAAAGGAATGTGTGAGATATTAGCCCTCCTCTCATATTTTTTTTTTTTTTACAGCAACTGTATGTGTCTGTCCACCTACATAACAATGATACAGAGACGCCCAGGCGTGACCTCAGATTTGCCTCTGCAGGAGTAACCTCTAATCTCTGTGGTCAACAGGTCGACATCATTGAACTGCAAATCACGGTGATAACGCAGAGCGACTATGTGCACAGAGAGAACGTGCGATGGACGGTTTTTGTGTGAGGAGGTAATGGCGCTGCTACAAAAACACACACACAATCCCAGTAAACTCAGGAGTAAGTTGCCAACAGTTGAAGCAAATCTTGGACATGGGCGGACACTGATGTCAGCGCGGAAACATCGCTGCCAAATTAAGACAGAACTGTTGCAAAACAAAATAAATGCTTAAACTGAGTTATTTGTACGTAATCTGAAAAAAACATATGGTTAATATCATAGTACAATAGTTCACTAAAAATGCATGCAGAGCTTAGTTGCATACTAAGATTGTTACAAGTTAAAATATAGACCAATTTGGCATTTTATCTTTTAACCTTTAAATACCAGATCCTAAATATTTGAAGGACCTGGTGGTCATTTCCCTGAACATTGACCTCAGCAATGGAGACAGCCTCCACTATTTGCTTCATACATTGGATCTAAAGCGTTTACACAGCCCGGTTAAAATGCCATGTTTCTGTGATGTAAAAGCCATGAGACCAATATAATCGTTTCACACCTTTTCACACTTTTAATGTGACATACAGGCTGTCAGGGAGAATCACTCAGTTTGACCCATTATTCAGTTATTTTTATTTATTCATCTTACAATTTCCCTGCAAACGCATTCAAATATTAAATAAATGCCACTATTAAACATGTTTAAATAATCTAGTATTATTATGCTAATTTAGCTGCATTTTCACCAACAACTTTTCATAAGACTTAAAGCAACAGAACTCCATCCACAATCACCTTTTATACTGTTATAGACTATTTATCAATAACAAAATAACATTTGGAAGCTGAGATCATTTTTAACTTTGCCAAAACATCAAAGCATGTTTTGGCAAAGTTAAAATGTATTTCCCTCCCCCCCGCCGCCCTTATTAGCAATGTTACCATAAATTTTATAAAATATGCAAGGTGTGCTTCTTACCACATTAAGTACCCTATATTTATTTCATTTAATGCCAAGATTGCTCTTGCTTTTCTTGCTTGTTCAGCAGCTCCCTCTGGTGTTAGATGGGTATAAAAACAACTTCTCTTGAATTATGTGTGTTTGTCCATTGAACATTAGGTGGCAGAATCCAACAAGAATAGCACACATGTACTGAAGCTGGTGGGTTTATTTGCCTATTAACTGTGAATCCAATACACTGATAGGATTAAAGTCAACCTGATTTTTACGACTTCTTCTGACAGTGTTAACCCTGGACGGTGCAACTGGAAAAACTAGCTGTTATCTGACATTTTCACTGATTTGTAAAGCATGCTTATAATCACTATGTTGAATTGCACCTTACAGGGGGCATGCCCGCAGAATCACAAACAGATTTCCATACGTCATTCTTATGAGTAGTCATTTTAAGTGGTAGCGCTCCAGCATGAGTAATATGGGTGAAATGACTTTTGCACCTCTCAGCTTAAGGTGGGCTGGACTGTCTCAGAGACTGCAGGAGGGTCCCACTTTGAAGTGGGATTAACATGCATGGCTAGTCGAGGTTAGAGGTCGTGGGCCTGGTTGTGGCTGAGAAGTCTTATTTTGAGTCAGTACAATCCCTAATATATGTCCTAAATTCATCTGAGGTTAAGTTTGAAAGACAAAAACATGTACAAAAGAACAGAAATCTTGCAGTCAGTCTGTACTGTAATTGCTCCCACTCTTTGACTTTGAACTGAGCATGACTAACAACCTGACTGAGGCCTTTATCTGCCCTCAGACCTGAGCTGGCTGAATCGTATGACTCCGCTGATCTCTCTTCATTTGTTCTGGCATCATATGTCACCCCCGTGACATCATTATTAATAAAGTGACTCTGGACCAGAATCAATCCATCATTTCATACAAAATGAAGCCGGAGGATCAAGATGGGGTCAACGCAAATAAAAAACATTCCCGGCTGCTGAACCAGACAAACACACTCATACATTATATTTACAGCCCGACAGACAATGCTTGGTCTCTTAAAGCGCTTTGCAAAAGCATTCACTTGTTCAAACTTCAATGAATTTTAGAACGTAAATCTGAAGTAGAACAAAAATGGTACAGGATTTAAATTGTTCTTAGAAAAAAAAAGTGTTATCCATCATTGTCCTCAGCAAGAAGATAAACCTCTGCTAAAAGTTTGCTGCCTCTAAAAGGTTTCCTTGCAGTATTGCGCTGTATTAAGCCCTGACCAGATTCATTGTCCCTGATGCAGAATAATGTCCCCACAGCATGACACTGCCACCAGCAGGTTTCACCTTTGAGATGATGTGTTTATGTTTAAGTACCGTGGTAACCTTACGCCACACATTATCGACCACACTTATAGGCCTGAGATTAAATTTCCCACAGCTGGACTCTACTAATAAGGTGACTTCTAAAGTTGTTGAATGTTCTGAATTTTATTTAGGCATCAATGTGTCAAAGTAAAAAGAGGCTGAATACATATCCACACTACACTTCAAAGGAAATTGTAAAGCGTGCATCATTTTCCTGTCCAGCTCGCATGTCCTTTACTTTGTGTTGGTCTGTCACGTAAAATGCAATTGAAAATGCAGTCACAGTTTGCGTTTGTGATAAAAACACAAGGTGAAAAAGTTAAAGAAGAGTGAATACTTTTGAGATGGAGGTTATGGTAAAAAAAAAAAAAAAGCTGTTATTTTATTTCCAGTGACTCACTCTGTGGGAGGGTTGAGGTCCTCTGGTCGGGTTTCAAAGAACTTAAGGACCTCCTCGCTTTCCGAAATGGAAGAAGGAAGTTTCATCAAAGCCTGTGGGCAAACATAGCATCCATGTGTCTTTAATTTAATTGGAAGCATTCATGACATGTGACATTTCTGGTGAAGCTGCTCAACCGAAACTGAAGTAAGCTAGTATCTGCTAACTGAGGTAGATGAAAAGACCAGAGATGAAAAGAAGACAGCTTTGGCTCAAGACAAGGAGGCAAAGACCAAATGACGCAAACATCTCAGTTTGACCGAGATTCAGTCAAAGCTTGTTAGCTAACTTGATAATTTTACAATAGCTTCACCAAGTTGTTAAAGCTGCCACTTTTGGCAACACACCTGCCCTGCATTCTTTTTGATGAACAGCTAAAAGAGGAACAGGTCTGAGCTGATTATTGTACTTTCCTCCACAACTGCTGATTCATTCCTCCTAACCCCGTGCATGCCCCAGTTTTCCATGTTTCTTTCATAGGAGTCCTACTAACACTGCTGACAGGATATGACCACTGCAGATAGAGAAGCTGCTTTCCTGTTGAGGCTGGTGACGTGGGAGATAAAAACAAAAAAGAGAAGCTGAGGCCGGCACTGAAGATACGTTGGCAAGCGTTTGCGTGTTTCCCAAACTCTATTTGGTGTGTGCCGTAAACAAATAAAATGTTTTATGTGATTCTTACTTTGCAGTAGTTATCCAGATGCTTCAGCCTTTTGACAGCTACATCTCTAATGTGACTGCGACGAAACAAGACTTTACCTGAACAAAAACAGAGCAAAAGTTGTGAGATTTGAAAACAAAAAAACGAGGTATACATTTTATCAGTGAAAACAGAGCCCCCCTCATTGCTATGCTCTAACACTCATCCGGGGGCTGATGACCTCCAGCAGAAACTAAAAGATAAATTTGGCCGAACAGTTCCTTTGCAAGAAACACAGCTCAGGCCATGTTGTTCCTCCAGTGTGATCAAAACAACACGGACCAAGCCTGAGCGGCGAGACTTATCTAACAAAGGATCTCTTCACGACTCTCCTCCGCTCTGGCCCACAACAACTTTATCAGATTAGACAAATCCTTCTCTGCTAACCTCCTACCAACATGGCCAGCCACAAATTGATTTGGCCTGGCTACAGCATGGTAGCTGATAAAACAATGCCGTGTGGTGGGCACAACTGTGGACAGCGCAGGAGGGCCAACAAACAGCCGTTCTGAATGGAAATAGTCAGAATTTGATAAATGATATAGATTTGTTTAACTGATAGTGACAGTTTTCAAGAATGCTTTGTGTTGGCGTTGATGATTTTGGTTTACAGTATATAAAAACAAATGATCCAGATGATCTGAAAATCACAACGTTGTATTAGAAGAATTAAAAAAAAAAAGCTTTATTGTTTATTATTAATAACTTCCATGCCCTATTTATAACCTATAAGCTTATGGCGCAAACAAAAAGGCACTAAGATGAGCACGCACCCTTCAGCTTTGATGAAGGACGCCTGGACTTTTGTCAAAGATCTCAGAAAACGTCTTACTCTCTTTTCAAAAAGTATGTTTTTAAAATATAAAATAATAGAGCTAAAAAAACATCAAATTACAACTGAATTTATCACTAGTCACCTTTAGTAAACTGTCTAGACTACGGTTTCCTTAAAAGTTTGCACGCTACACTTGACTCCATGTGCATGAAATCACTGAATCAATGGTACTGACTTGATGAGCTTGTTCCTCCGGTGAGGTGAGCAAAAATTCCCATTAATTCAATAGGGTGTGTGTATATGGTTGTTGAGGATGCCTTGGTATATTTTCACTCAAACCCTAGAGGGTTTGAGTGAAACATTTATTACCTGGTAAGAAAGGAATGATTCTCTTCTTGGGATCCTTCTGCCCTGCCTCAATCGGGAATTTGTCAAGGATCCGCATCTGCAAGAGTACAGTCACGTCAGTGGTTACAAAAATGTTCCACACTCTCATAAAAACAGCCGAAGTGCCTCTTTGTTGTCTCTGTGTGTGAATTAAAATGTATTGCATCTGCTTGCTACTGAATTAACTAGCTTCCCTTCACTTTTACATGGGAAGGGTAATTTGCCCATGTTGACTAGGGAAAAAGTACTAAAGATAGAAAACTGGGCTTTTACACAACAGACAGACATAAAGTGTAAACATCTTACACATAAGAAGCAAGCAACAACAAAAAAAATTAATAAAATTGTAATTGACAAACAGTATCAGCAAAACACACTGGTGCAGTTGTTTCTGTTCTCAGACGGGATTGAATGCTAATACCAGATTAGGGACAAAGTTGGAAGCTTGTGCATATCCTTAGGTCATGTATAAACACATGCAGTGCTGTGAAAAGCAACTGTCTCTTAAATTTTGTTTTTCTGTGTTTACTTCTGTCAAACTTTTCAGATTATCTAACAAATTTGGATGTCAGACAGACACACTGCAAAATTCAGCTTTCAGATGATGGAGTCTCAGTAGTGACTTTACAGGAGTTTTCAAAGGCAAAAACCAACCTTATGACATGTTGGTGATACCCGGGACTTTGGGGAAAATATTCGATGGGCCTTTTTTGGGACGTGCGTCCTGAGATAAGACTAACGCACAATTTCCAAAACAGGCCATCATAACCAACAGTTAAATAAGATGGTGAAAGTGTTACGGTGTAGGTCTGCTTTTGCTGCTTCAGGGCCTTGATTGCCGTAATTCATGGACCCATGAATTCTGATTTCTGCCAGGAAATCCAAAAGGAGAATGTCCAGGCATCTGTTTGTGACCTTGGACTGTAGACTTGGATTATATGACAGGAAAATTATTCAAAGTGAAATCCAGGAGAAGTATGCAAGGAGGAAAATCCTTTATCATTTTTTTTTCACAACACTGTACTGCCATACTCCATGCTCCATGCCATGTGTATATGCTGCAAGCTTTGTGGGGTGGATGCGCATGTTCTGCTAAGTGCAGGAAACAGCAGAGAAGTGTTTCTAGTTTTCTGGCAACAAACTTTAATAATTTCATAAATACACATGAGAGACCATCTGTAGTAACAGCAGACCTGAAATCCAGATGTAGTCCTGGCTAAGACGTCTTTGCCTTGCCCTGTTCCAGATGTGCTCCCTCTAACAGCACAGAGTGTGGGTGTCATACTGAATCACACTGAGCTCCAAGGAGGAGGAGACCTTAAGACTAGTTTCACTATAAACTGATTCAAAAAAGAACCAGGTGGACAAACAGAATCCAGTTGGCCGGTAAAGTTGGACCCAGCCTGTCTGGGTCTGTAGGAGTTGTTTGTAAGACTTTTCCTCAAAGGGGTGGTTTGGTTTCCAATGTTGCGGTTCTTTGTTTCCCTGGTCAACTCCACTGCCTTTGCTAAATGTCAAAATTACTTGCAGGGCACAGCATTTCCTCCTCTGAACCATGCAGCTAGGAGGCTTTGGGTTGTGTAAAAAATGACAGTCATCACTTTGTTTAGGGTAAAGCAGAGGGCAGGGCATAAAGAAAAGCATTGGTTAACCACACATGCGGACAAGCAAGACTGAATCCTTTTGCTCTAAGAACTAAGAAGGGCAAAAGCTGACAAATGCATTAAAAAAACTACCCTGTCTTTCTGTATGATACAAGATAAATAACAGAGTTTTACAGAAAGGGTTCAAACTTCATGTTATAACAGTATATTGGCAACTTCATTGTTTTTTTTTTTTCTGAACAGGAAAGTTGCACACTCAGCTTCACACTGGAATGTAGCTGAACACCCGCGCAAGTCAGGAAAGTTCACATGATGTGTTCCTGTTCAGAAATGAGGATGAAATCATCCTCCAGGACCTGCCTCGACAGGCTCCTGAGCCCACAGATTTTTATGATTTAACGTCAGCAACTTAGAATGACAACATTGCCTACATTTTATTTATTATTCATTTTGGGAATACACGACCACAGGCAGTGGCTCTCAAAAGTCTTCAGTTTTCCTGTTAAAATGCCATCTTATTTCCTGAAGGCAGTCAAAATTGAGATATGGAGCAACATTTTCCAAGAGTAATTCTTAAAGATTTGCTTGTTTTTTGTTTGTTTTTTTTATTTATTGAAATCTTCAGGTTATATGTCACAATTAAGGACTCATTTTTTTCCATGACAAAAAAATCTGGCATTTCAAAAGAGGTTGGTACACTTTTATGGTCCACTGTGTGTCATAAAATATGTGTGTATTAACTGGCAATGTCTCCCAAATGAAAATGTTTATGCTTAACAGGTGCAATTATCTTATGATGCCTCTTAGGCTGCTCCCTTAAAGACAGGGTGAGTTCTCCTGAAAGTGGCAGCACATAATTACTACACAAAATTCCAGAAACAGGAGAAAGCAAAGCAGGTTGTCTGAAATAATAATTGTTGACATGTTAAGCTGTTTTACTAAGCTGTGAGAACGAGAGCAGCTGAAACAAAGAGAGACTGAGAACTTCAGCAGACAAAGAAGTGCTCTGAGAGGAAACTGGGACAGGGGGAGTAAGGAGGAATGCTACAGTGGGAAAACGATCCGATTCCATCTCTGGGTTGTTATTTGACACCTACTTGATAGTTGTTTTCTTCAGAAAGGACAGTTGTAAAAGAGTTTTTGTTTTATTTTTTTTATTTTTTTATTTTTTCAAAAACTCTCAGATTTGCTTGAGAGAATAAAAGTTTTAATGGAAGAAAAACTCTACCGTGTCGCACAAATCATTCTACTCATATGTTAAGCAGCTTTACCTGTGCTGGAGTCAAGTCAATTCAAATATCCTTTACTTATCCCAAAGGGAAATTAAATGTTATGTGGAAATATCTTCAAAGTGTCACTGTGAATGGTGTTCAGTGGGCGGAAAGGATCTTCAGCAGCAGTCAGGCTTGCTAAAGACTTTTGCTGTGTGACACAGTTTCATAATTGTCATGATAAGCCAACCGCTCAATATCCAGTAACATGGACAAGACTGTCAGCTGTTGGCAAGCACTGCTAATCTACATTACTTGCTTTTGCTGCCCCAATTTAAACCTCTGTCTGGTCGTACGGTTAGAAGACGGACAGAATGATGTTGGAATCGGGGTTGTGATCCTCGCCCGTTATGATTGATGAAGAGACTATTTGAACTTCAACCTTGTATCTCCCTGCTCTTTGGTCCTGCTTCACATTCACGAAGTCTCCTTTCCAACTCTCCTGGGATTTGGAGTCATAGTTTGGTACTATCTGAGCTTATGCTAATCAGGTGCTCCCAATTGTAAATAAATAAATAAATAAATAAATAAATAAATAAATAAATAAATAAATAAATAAATAAATAAATAAATGCGCAACGCTTCAGTCAAAACAACGATGAACAAAAGTCTACAAAAAGAATAAATCAGACCCGATGTAACAGAGAAACTGCCACATGTTGCCACCATGAGTGGGATTCAAGACAACATCATGTGAACTTGCAACAGCAAACAGCAAGTTCACATGATGTACCTGTGCATTTCATCTTAATACAGATGACAATTTTTGGGCCCAGAAACGCAAACATTGTTTTACTTGCGGGCCTAACTTTGACCAGTCACATAAAGTCAAATATTAAATCAACAATTCCAGACTTAAACATTTCCTTTCAAAAAAAGAAAAAAAAAAGGTCAACGCATTGTTTTTTTTATTTTTTGTAATGGTTTCTTGACTAGTCTTCGTCAAAAAGAAAACATTTAAATAAAATAGATACATCAGGCAGCTGTGGTTAATCCATAATGTTACTGTCAGAAACCTCCCTTATTAAAACCATAAAAGTCTTTACGTCAGACTATATAATGTTTTAAAATTATCCCACTGGTTAATAGGCACAGGAAGACCTACATGAATGCCAGAGTCACTCTTGAAGTTTAAACTGTGTAGACCCCATAAGCTTATCACACACAAGTCTTCTCAGTTTTTCTAGGACCAGAACTGAAGATGAAGAGTTAATATTCACTATCTATGCTCCTCAGCTCTGGAACCAACTCCCTGAAAACCTGAGATGTGTAGAAATTGCTGGTTGCTTTATTGCCAACATTACTGTTGCAGTCTTCCCTTTAAATGCAATAGCTTTGACAGCAAGAGTAGAATTTATTTCTTAATAATTTGTAGACATATATTTGATTTAATTAAACATTTTATCACTTATTCCTGTTCTTTCTTTTTATGTGAAACCATAATTTTTGCTGTAATCATTTTGAAGTACATATGTCCTGTTTTCCTTAAGAACACTTTCTTGTGTTTGAAAGATGAAACACAAACATACTTCCATTGCCTTTATGTAAATAACATTTAAAAAAAAAAAAAAAAAAAAACCTAAGTTGTTAGTAGGATGCAGGTCAGACAAATCACAATGCAGACAGAAAAAAGCTGATCCTGTTCCAATTTCTTCCAAAAATAATGACGACTAAGGGCTTTTCGAAAAGGTCTCTGTCCAAAAGGAAACCAGGCCAGCATGCACACTCCCCATGTGGAAAGCCGTTAAGCTTGACGAACTGACCAGTGCAGTCCCGCTTACGTCAAACTCGCAGGTCATAAAACATTTCCTTTGCGCATGCAAAAGATTTTTTGATACATTTTGAACAACACTGCAAAAAAGGTTTAATGAGCAACTAGATGTCTTGTCAGATGGAAATATCCTGTTCTTCCAATTGATTCTAGTTTACTAGCAGCTGGATGTCTTGTTTGCATTTTCTCTGCAGAAAATGTTTGTTTTTTTTGACTATGTCAGTCATTTTCTAATCACAGCCACTTATTTGTTGCTCTTCAGCAAATGATTAACAGTGCCAGATGAACACACACCTACACCAGGAAACCGCAGACTTGACTAATGATTACGCAGACAGGAGGGATCCTCTGTTGTAGTCTCACCAAGCAGCTGAATTTTCCAGACTATTGCTAAGGGACCAGAGAACAAAAGGTTTCCTGCAAGCAACCCGTCGGAGTCACGGCGCTCTGGCATTCAGTCTGGAAGAAGGGGTTATCAGCCAGAGACATGCAGGAACGATGTGTTTTGCTAGATTTAAACCTTTCCTACATTTAAACTTCAATGTAGGCCTCATTGAAGTTTAAATCCATCATCTTTCTAACAAACAAGCTGTATCATGCGTTAACTTAAGCATTTCAGATATATCCTCTGGAGGACTTTTGCTTGACTTTTTGTGGAGACTTTGCCGCGTTATGCATTCTGACAGAGGTCGTGTTTTTTCCTGCATCTGCTGTCTGGATTTCCCGTCTTTCCTTGGTTCTAAGCAGTCATCCTAAAATAAGTCTGTCACAAAAGCAAAGCATCTGCATCAGCTGAGCAGAAAGCAGGGGCCTTAAGGTCACCAGATGAGGCAACCCTGACAGAAAATATCAAACTTTGAGAAGTATTCTATGCAAATGAGAATTAAAGCTGTGAAAGACTTTTTTTTTTTGCAAGCGTGACTTACCTGCAGGTCAAAAAACTTGCTATATCTTCGGTAGATGACATGGGAACTGGAGTCAGAGTAAGTCACTTTGATAAGATAGACCTACAGAAGACAGAGTAGACAAAAAAAGCTTGGTTAGGAACACAAGGCACCACGTTATCCCTCCTGACTTAACTTCAAAGGTTCTCAGAGAAACAAATTAAATCTCTCTTTTTTTAATCACACTTCAAACAGCTACAAGGGAATCAACAAGTAAACAACAGATTTCAAGTATTAACTCAGTGTAGTTGAGAATGGGTGATTTAGAACTGTTTACAATATAGCTTAATAGTTGGCTTCATAACGGCCACTGTTAAAGATCATTCCCATTGTATCAACAGCTTCTAAAAACAGTGACTGTGACCACAAATAAGTGATTAAGAAAATCAACTACAGCTTATGCTGTAGCTTATGCTAAAAGAACCTGATGTGTGATAACAGAAAGTAAAGTTGGAGTTAGTGGCTACTTAACTGATTATAGTAAAAGAATGTAAAACAGTGAAGAAATATTACTATAGTCATCTCAAACATGGATGCTGCTGTGGAAGTGGGGAATGTGGAGATAATGTTAGAAACTAATGCATTAAACAAATAAAAAATACTAAATCAGAGTTAAGATCATGACATCTTAAAATTACGCCACATGTAAAAACTCTTCCGGGTCTATCCACCACTTGATACGTATCACTTGTCAGACAAGTTGGCAAACAGGTACCAAGCAGCAGGAAGATGTGCGCCACTGAGCACACCTCAGTGGCATGATAAGAGTAAATGATAGATTTGTGGTCCTTCTTGTTTGTGCTGCATGTCAGGGATCTTGGCAAATAGATACTATTATGAAACTAAAAAAGGCAAATTGTGAATTCTTTTACTTCATAGTATATTATGTGAATGTCCAAATATAAAATACTCAGTGTAATAGTGATATGCTTTATGCATTAAAAAAGGTTTTATTTAAAAAATAATACTTTTTAAATCTCTTTATGTATATTGGTTATTAATACAGATTATTAACCCTCTGATACATAAGTGGGTCCCTTTTGACCCGGTGAGGTCATCTTTTTGCAGTATCTTTGTAATGAAAGGTTTTCATCACTTCATATTCTAGGTATTCCTCAACAAACATGTTACTGATATCATGCAATTCAATTTTTTTATTTACCTTTTACACATTTTAAGAAATAGCATGTTTTATGTTACTACCCCATTCTTCTGTGAGTGGGTTAAAAATGACCCGCATTCATTTCCTATGGAATTTAATGGGAATCTTTGTTTCTTAACAACTGTGATTGTCAGGAAAACATATTTTGGATGGACATACACACTCACATGTGTGATACACACAGCACAATAGAATACAGACAGTAATGTTAGCTAGCTTGATTAGCTGGCTAGTTTCAAGAAATGTGCTCTTTCTACCCCCCCGCCTTCCCACTGCCCACACACACATAATGGACGCTGACATTGTTCCAACATGTCAAGCAGAAATTTTACAATTTTGTTGTAAAATTGCTGCTTTTGTCGTTTTGTTTTAAAAATGTTTTACAATTTCTTCTAAAAATGCTTAAGCAAATGAAAAACCAGAATATTTCAAGCATGAAATAATTCTTGTGTGAAATAAAACACAGCAGAAAGTATCATACTAAACATTATTTTGAATCAAAATGACAAAAGTAGCATAAAAACACATTGATTTAAACACGGGTCCAAAAAGACCCATTCATGGAAGACTGTATAGTCAATATGAAATTTTTGTGCTAATCTTCATAACTGTCAATAAAGGAACCTAGAGGAAATGCCTCCTTTTAAAACCTGACCAATTTTAGAAGGATTGTGCCTGTTTATAAATGTCCTGAATATAAAAACATTGCCAGATGTCTGTGATGCAATGAAGTTTGATTTGGGGAGACACTTTTTGCCAACTGAACCAAATCATCAAACCACATTACAAAGATATTTCTGCTTTGAAAGATCATGTAAATCAAATATTCTAATATCACTATTCATCAAGTTTAATCTCCTCCTCCAAGATTTGCTTGAGCTGCTTAACGTCATTAAACTGTGACAGACATTAAGTTGTTTATCAGGTTCATGTGTTTCCATGGAATCTCTGGTAACCGAGAACTGAACGTCTAGTTGGCTTTAAGTCGTTGCTTCTTAAATTACACTACAAAGGGTGGCAGGAAGAAACACCAGAAAAGCGAGAAATGCAGTCAGTAAACAGAATATATCAAATTACAAAAAGCCTTAGCTTTTGTTTCATCCACATATCCTCATACCTTTCAGGAACTTGATGACATCTGTCTGTTTGCCAAGTCTCCATAGACTTGGTAACTTTTTTCTTTTAAAAGCCAGTCTCATTTAGCAGAACATTTATTCCAATAGTTCAATTCAAAAGCAGAAAATTGTTTTTCTAGGAACAATTCTCCTAGGAACATTGGAAAATTGTTTCCTAGAAAAAAAGAATTCCTGGACATTTTTTTTCTATAAAGATTTTAGGAGTTTTTAGCAGCAAACCATAATTGTCAACTGTAATAAAAATTAGCATGTTTTACTTTTTCAATGACATTCCTGAAATGAGTACATTTTTCAATGATGTTTCAACTTGATAAGATGTCCAGTATTACATGATTAACTTAGCAAAATATCAAAGTTGGGTTGTATATTAACTGGATAAATCACTAGACCAACAGAGGGGCTTAATGTTAAATACAAAAAGCATAACATGACAATAAAAAACATTTTTTTCAACCTTTGTCTCAAGGCTTTATCTCCCCTAGCAATGCACATGGGATCAATGAAATATTCTACTTACAATCATAGTGTTTCAGAAGTTAGCTCTTTTACATGTGGTCTCAAGCTGCTGTGCATCAAGTTGGAAATGCGGTTTTTGTTCTGTAAACATTTTATCACGCAAGGACTGAGACCAAAGCAAGTTTTCTATTAGAACTCTATTGAGAGGCAAGCAGCCAGGCCGAATAGTGGGAGGATGACTGAAACTACATCAAGACAAAACCTTAAAATCTCAAATGTGCTTAGTTTGATTAATTTGGATCAAAACAAAAGTTATCTGCAAAGTGTGGCTGAAACAGGGAAGAGTTGTTTCTTTCTGCTGAACTAAACCTAAACGTTTGTAAATAAGATTTCTACACACATCGCCACTGCCATTTTGCATCTCCTGTGCCACATGTTCCTGGAAGGAAGTGACAATTTACCAGTGGGGACAAAAACAAAGAGCTCCTTCTTTCCTCTGTCAAACCGGACATGCGTTTCCAATTGCTTAGCTCATATATGATGAGATGTTTTTGTCTTTGTCCTCCTCCTTCCTCAAGGGGATTTCCCAGTCAAACCTTCCATCCGGCTTTATCCCCCCTGAGAGCAAGTCTCTGCCCTATGTTTAGCAGCCTTGGGGAGGAATTCTCAGCTGGAGATGGATGATGGGATTGATTTAAACTCTCAGGCTAATCACTTCAATTGAACCTGACAGACACATTGATTTATCAAATCCCAACGGATAAGTTCTCGGTTGAACTTCTTTAAGCAGTAACATAACAACAGTGGACTGTAACTGTTTAGCTTTAACAGACAGAAATACAAGCTATTTCAGTATCATTTTTGCCAGAACACTAAAAGTGTTTCCATACCTTTGTAAACACTCAACATATTTAGTTAGAAAACGACACTGATTACAGGAAAAAACTAAATTTAAAACCTGACCTCAATGTCAGACCCTGCAGGTGGTAGTACCACTTGATAGTGGCTTTCTGTAGTTTGAGCTTCTTGATTGAGCCCCAAGAAGCTAAGTCTTGACCACCAGGTGCACCACACACACACACACACCATTTTGTAGAGACCAACTTAAATTTTTGAATCAGCCTTTGTCTAATCTCTTCCCTGAAGCCAATTTACCATGGGAGACCCCATCCAGAGGTTGAAGCCCCCAGGCAACATCACCACCAGGAGAACAGAACGACTGAAACCCCCTGTGGTTTTTCATACAAAATCATCTCTGAGCTTTAAGAATGGTCCATCCATCCTTTGTCTTCTTTTTTGTTATTTACTAAACTGATGGATTAAAAAAAAAAAAAAAAAAAAACACAAAAATCATTTCTAATTCAAGATCTTACATGGAAAAAGTTACATTATATTTCACTCTCCTGTTAGTGGGTTCAAACGTGATCTGTGGAATCTTTTGTAACCTATGATCATCATGGGATTACTGAGTTAGACATCGTCATTGAATTCTTGAGCTATGACATTAACTGTAAACTATTTGATTTGTAAAGCCAAATGAGAATGAAGGTATTGTAGTGGACAGAAACAACTACAGTGCAGATACTTCTATTATAAGAGGATAAAACAGAAAGTAATTAGGTACTTATTCAGCGTACTACCATTGTAGTACCAGTTTTCAACCTTGGTTGAAGCAGAACTATATGGGCGTCCTAGCATGAATGCCCTTACTCATCATAGAAACTTGAATGCTAAGATGATAACTTAAGATAGTGAAATGACGGGATGAGTCATTTGTTTTACACTTCCCATCATTTGACCCACTATCCTTCCTGCTCTACCAGTTTAATGATATGTTTGCACAAGATAAGCTTCAGTACCAAGAGGCTGTCTTGTCAAACTATTCTCAGGATTTGTCAGTGCCACAAGCAGGTTGGGTGAGAATCTTCAAAACTGTGGCTGAAACACGGAATAGTTATTTCTTTCTGCTTTATGGGATAAAGTCGTCATTTCATCAGGCACTCACCATCTACCAACATGGTCAGGTAATTATAGCGAAATCAGTTTCCACATTTATGGGCTGTGCTTAGTTTTTGTGTTATTTTGAATGTTTTGTGAAGTACATCTTTGTTCATAACAGGATGTGTGTCCTCTTTGAGGTTAGATTGCCTTTCACAATAATCAAATATGAGGCAAGTCCCATATTTCTAGTCATGTTTTCTCTTCTCTTTATAGGTTTTCATTTTTCTAAAGAAAAAAAAACAGTTATTGATTTCATCTTTAGATGGAAATAAAAAGGCAAAAAACCTTTTTCAAATGTTGACTTGGTATTCATTATGAAATAAGTTATTTGATCCTAAATGTCATCATGATATTAAGACTTTCTGACAAACCTAAAAACGTAAGATATGACTATAAAACTGTATACAAGATCTCTATCTTAATAGTTTTTTTTCACCCGCAAAAGCAGAACTCTTCTTGAGTGCACAATCTGTGAACCTTACTTTAAGCCTTTTGTTGTTTGTTAGCCTAAATCCTAACAAAATCCAGAATTATTCTGTTTTCTTAGCATTAATACCACAAAAAAGTAATCCAGTGACATTATAGAGATCTTCCTATTCACTTAGCAATGCAGCCTGTCTTAAAACTTAATTTTTGCTTTTAATCATATCATAGTCTCTTTGCTTTCATTTGAACTGACTCATTGCTGAATCGTGTTGTCCTTTCTCATTAGACTGTGAAATGAACAAATCATTACAACTATGATACATTAATCTTCCCTTAAGATTTGGGCTGGGTTTTTTATACATTTGTTTAGAGGTGTGTGTGTTGAGTTTCGTTTCACTTCCTTTTTATTTTTGTGTATTAAAAGTCTGAAACCTCACATTTTCATATGATGTAAATCTATATTTTAACTTCTAAATCTGACAAAGGTTTAAAAAATTTTTTTAAATGTCAAAATATATCTCCCTTTATGCGGGCACTAAGCAAACAGAAAGAATTTTGCTCGTCCTGCCAGCCGTAACACAGGAATGTTTACTTTGAAATGATGTCAGATCATTTACGAAGAAAAAGATCCCATGTCCCTTTTTATAAGGTTTATGTGAATTTTGACTTATAGCTTACTTTATACCATTTTACCCTTTTCACCTCAATAAAATTGTAGTCTCCCATAGGTCCTTAGAGTTAAGTGAGTCTTTTTTATCACTTCCCTGTCATTTTGTTTATTTTTCTCCTCTCTTATGAAAATGTGACAGACTGTCATGAGTCTTGGAAGAGAAGTACAGTCAGTAGCCAAACTTTTCTTCAAATCTAGTCAATAAGCTAAAAGTCACCCAAACCTTTTTTACAAGCATATTAATGTAAATTCCCATTGCACTGATCACTTACTGGTTTAAAGTGACAGCGTTAGGTCAACTGTGTAATAAGCATCTATTAGGAGAGAATCTGTTCCTAAATCCCACTATAAAACAAGGCAGAAGAAACAATGCAATGGAAGTACTTACACAAGATATAGACAAGTTGTCATTCTAAGCTGTATTTCTTTATGTTTCTTTGACTTCAGAATTTTGACACTGATTGACGCCTGTGCCACAACTTCATTACTGTTGGGGACCCTTCTGGTACTTCTTTTTTTCAATGAGCCACAAAACATCTCAACGCCTCAATCACGACCACAATCAGCACACGACCAGCACAACCACGACCGGAGACCTGCATATTTAAAAGAAGAAGATCACAACGCCTCACACAAAACTTCCCCATCGTCAAATTGGCAATTGGATAGGTGGAGGGTGTCACAAAACCTAACACTAAGATGTGAACGAAACGCAATGTTTGAAAACGTCTCTGGCTTTGATTCCTTTTCCCCTATGATTCAAGACTTTCTTTACTATCGTCACTGTCGTAGTTTCCCCATAATTCTGGACTCTCCTGACAAATGTGGAGGAGATGATGAGCCTGAGGATGTCTTTCTTTTGCTCGTTATTAAAAGTTCCCCAAAGAACTATGAGCGAAGAGAGGTCCTGCGCAAGACCTGGGCTGCAGAGAGGTCATATAAGGGAAAGGTGATTCGAAGAATCTTTATTGTGGGAACTGACGGTTCAGGTTTCCAGAAGGAGAAATTGAACAAACTTATCAGGTGGGAGCACCAACAATACAATGACATCCTCCAATGGGATTTTAAGGATTCCTTTTTCAACCTCACTTTGAAGCAGATACTCTTCCTTGAGTGGATGGACAGACGTTGCCCACAGGCTCAATTTCTACTGAATGGTGATGATGATGTTTTTGCCCACACTGACAACATGGTTGAATATCTTCAAAGTCTTAAAGACAATAATGGAAGTAAACACCTTTTTACTGGCCATCTGTTGAAAGGAGCGAGTCCTATAAGAAACCCAAATAATAAGTACTTTGTTCCGCCACAGGTGTACGAAAAAAAGGTTTACCCACCCTACTGTGGAGGTGGGGGATACCTTCTGTCAGGCTATACAGCTTTGGCCATTTACAAAATATCTGCGATGGTCCAAATTCTTCCTATTGATGATGTTTACATGGGAATGTGTTTGGCTGCAATGAAACTTAAACCTGACTCTCACCTGGGTGTGAAAACACTTTATTGGTACATTCCCTCCAGACAAGTTGATAAATATGATCCTTGTTACCTCAAGGATTTACTTTTGCTTCACAAATTCTTGCCCAGTGATCTATATTTCTTGTGGCAAGAAGTACGCAACCCAAACCTCTCATGTAGTGATACATGAAAAACAGTTGAGCTGAAATAAACTCAAATGAACTGTCTGAACAAGACCTGGGTCAAAAAAAAAAAAAAGATTTAAGTAACTGGTTAGTTAGGCAGGTAGTAGCACATTATAGCCTGTTATTTTTTACAATAGTGAGAACGCTAGGTACTTGCAGTAGTTATTTAGTTAGTAAGCTAGTTATCAATACTAATAAACTTATTTTTGCAGCTATACCATATCACTTGTTGGGCAGGGATTTCAATGCTTTTATTCTAGATTTGATTAGCTAATTACAGAAAAAACACACAGTAAAAAATAACAGCATTCAAACAGTGAAATCTAAACATATGCTATGTGAACTAGTGTTTAAACGAGCACCAGATTTCTGAGTACAAGTGAACACAACATAATATTCTGTGAGCTATGTTGTAGGGTATTTTTTTAGTATGTAACTTGTTACATATTGATAATGTTTCCTGTTAATTCTCATGGAACCTGTTTTTATATGTGTTGCATGTGTTGAGATAATAAATGTTTCTTGTAAATTTAATTTGGCATTTAAGTATTTTTTTTTGTAATCAAATGAAAGATATTAAATGTTCTTTACTACCATAACTCCTACCAAATGCTTTCTGAAGTCACTTAAGTTAATGAATAAAGTGCACCTGTGTATGATTTAATATTAGTTTAAATGCAGCTGTCAGGTCTCAAGAGTTATTCATTGAATTAAAAACATCATAATGATCAAGAAATACGCCACATAAAGTCAAGGATAACTTTGTTAACAGGTTTAAAGCACGATTAGGTTATAAAACAATATTCCAAGCTTCAAATTTTTGATGGACCACAGTTCAATCTCATGAACTGGAGAAAAAAAACTGAGAAGAACAACTGCAAATCTATCAAGACAAACTGATAGGTTGGGCAAGGAGAGCTCCATTAAAGTATCTGCAAAACACGATGTGTGACAGGAGGATCACATGACATCAGTACAAATGACAGCACAACTATGAACTTTCTGAGGTGTATGCGTATACATTATAGTACATTTTTGACAGAACAAAAAATTCAACTGCCTTTGAATGTTGCATAGCATTTCATGCTTTACAAAAAAGATGTGCCAATGTGGCAACCAAGCAGCCCAGGTTTGTGTTGCATTTGCCTTGCGATTGCACAATGTACCTACAGCATCTGTGTCAGAATGAGGTTGGATCACATTTACACCATAAATAAATTACCCTAAAGAATATTTGGCAAGTGTACAAAGACCATGTCCTCCAAATGGTCTTTGTATTGTTGATTTGGTTCACACCCAAAGTCAGATTACTGTGTTCATATCACATTCATTACTGCATTCATAGACAAATGAATCACAATAAGGAATTTATTCTTCTTTTGTTTGTCATTAGTCATTTTAGGTAAAGTAAGGTAATTTTATTTATATAGCAAATTTTCAGCAACAAGGCAATTCAAAGTGCTTTTTATAAAATAATACAGTACCCATGATAGTTTGCAAAGGTTTAACATTAATTGCATATATTGACATACTGGTAATTTATTAGCATCAAGATATGATTGAAGATATGATGAATTAACTTTACTAAACATGTAGCATTTTTTAGACTTTTTTTAACATATTTTTGTTTAATTTACTTGTCAAATGTCATTACAGTATTTATGTAGAAACGTATTTTATGTATTGTATTGGAATCTGATTGATCACAAAATGTCAGATGCCTGTGAAAGCCCATGACAAAAATCATATAAATCCCAGTGTTTTGTCAATTGAAAATACGTTCAGTACAGCACAAAGTAGAGAATGAACAGAGCGACATCACAATCCAAGGAAAGGGTATCACGTATGCTTCGCGAAGAATCAGCAGTGATAAAGTAGCAACGCAGCTGAGCGCAGGAGAAAACAACTTACATAGTGTTTGGAGGGGTTCCTTCTCTTCTGCACGTCCACGACGTTAACGTCAAGGACAGTGCGGAACTGCATCTTCTCAACAGACCGGACGGGCCTTTATTTAAAGGGAAAACAACTACAAACTGCAAAAGCGCCGATATTTGCCCATGAAACGCCGAAGAGGGAGCTCGAAAGATGCAAAAGTCCTAACTTTGTGCAAACAGTTAAGTAAACTTAAGCGAAGGAAAATAGCGCGATCCACGGTCAGGTTCTGGGTGCCCCCACGAACTGACGGTGTCAAGCGGTCTTTGTGAAGCAATCCGACGCAATAAAACTGGCGAGTAATCAGACTTCTCCACCCTGAAAGAGGGGCTGCACCGCCGCTGTCCGGAGCCAAAGGGGGCAGTCAGAGCGTTATGGGGCGGACCCAGTTCAGCTGGCTGGACACACTTCACAGGACTCTTCAGGAAGGAGGTCAGCATGGCTGGGACTACTACCGCTTCTTTGTTCCGTGGAGCACCAAGCTTTCAGTCAACAGAGATCACAAAACGACAGGGATTCCTTCACTGTTGTCCGTTAGTTTCCACAATACTGCTTAGTTGAAATTTAGTCAAACTGGTGCTTTGTGCTTTACTCACTGGTTTATCATTATTACACAGTAATAATGCCTCATTATTACTGAAAATTATTCAAAATGATTTGGTTTGGTCCACATAACTGGTTCAAATCCGCCTTAAGTTAAATTAAACTAAACTTGTCATGTTTTAGGTCAGTTAGAATGACCAAAATTATTTTCTTTTGTTCAATGTAAGACTATTGAGAGGGGTTTATTTAATTATTACTTTTAAAAAAAATCAGACGCTTCATATTCTTTGTATTTAGCAGAATATGTGTTCAAACTCAGTGATGGCATAGTTACTTTGAAAAAGTAACTTTAATGGGATTATTGATTACTCCTTGAAAAAGTAACTTAGATTACTGGTTACTTGATTTGGAAAGTAAGTAAGTTACACTAAAAGTAACCTTTTTTTGTTACTTTCAGCAGCTGTTGACAATGTTCCACCACATGTGAAAATTACATTGAGCTTTGCCAATACTTAATTGCTAGTTATTGTTGATAAATTCTTCTTAATTTGTGTTTAACATGCAAGACAACAGCTCGGTGTGGCTACAACGTAAGAACTTTCTGTCGGCTGTTATCCTGAATTATGTCACAG